AACAAAGCCACCATAAAAATCTGCAAAGAGCCAGAAAGCTACACTCAAGAGAAGCACCGACACTTTAATTCATTAGTTTCTTCAAAGGCATAGTTTCTTTTGGGGTCAGTCTTCCACATCCCAATCCGGACAGTTGGTTTAGAGTCACATGAATATGAGTATATGAATGTGAGTATTCCTTCTGAAAACAAATGCTTTTTGACATTTTATGGAATTCTTTGAGATAAAAGGGAGATGAATGAAGTCAAGGTCCACTCACAGCAGGATGTCCCAACAGGTAGGTCTCAAATGATTAAGAGATATGCCTGGATATTGTACCCCTCAGCCCTCAAAGCAGCTGCAAACCTGGGATGATAGATAACCTCTTTTGTTTCTCCCAATGAGCAGCACTAATCATACTACTTGGTTAAAAATAATCATAATCATGAAAAGGCTGGCAATTCCTGAATAAGGATCTAGTAAGCACAAGAGGACAAAGAAACATGCAGCCCACTTCCACGATCCATCATTACCGCCTGGGATATTCTGATAAGTTGCAGAAATCCTTTCTGCTCTTAGCAGCTCTAACTTAAAAACTAAGAGGCAAGACTGGATCTAGACTTAAACCTCCAAGAGTCATAAAACAGTAGTACATTCTAGTCACTATTAAAGGTCTGCTGATTTTTGACTGACTCCATTTTCCTATCTCTAAAATGACATGATTTACTCAGATATAAGGCTTAATATTTTAGAAATTTCTATTCAGTTAAAAGTGCATAACTGCAATTGTTTTTAGGACGTAAGTTATGAAAATTATAATTAAGAAATAATTTTATTTACAGTAGCCTCAAAATATGTACCCAACTGAAAATTAACTTGCAAAGAGGTAAGGTTAGCTCCTACTCTTATTTTATTTTCCTACTCTTATTTTAAACAAAGGAAAGAAAAAGGTTAGTAGCTTATCCGTTCTCTACAACCTTGTGTACTTGTATTTGGAGTGCTGGAACTACCAAGTACAACCACTACAGCTTTTAAGGGCTTATAATCAAGAGTATCCGAAATTAAAAAGTGAGTGTGGAGCCCAAATCATTCTTTAGTTAATTTTAGTCATAATAGGGATTTTTTTTTAAAAGATGGAAGCTGATACAAGGCCTGGGATTTTTTTTTTTTTTTTTTAGAGACAAGGTCTCATCCAGGCTGGAGTGCAATGGCGCAGTCACAGCTCACTGCAGCCTCAAACTTGGGTTCAAGGGATCCTTCTGCCTCAGCATCCCGAGCAACTGGGACTACAGGCGTAGACCACCATGCCTGGCTAATTTGTTTATTTGCTTTTTCTTTTTTTATAGAGATGGGGGGGGTCTCATCATTTTACCCATGCTGGTCTTGAACTCCTGGCCTCAAGTGCTGGGATTATTACAGGCATGAGCCACTGTACCCAGCCAGGCTTGGAATTTTTACCATTAACTTCAAGTTATTCTATTTCAATCCCAGTTTTCTTATTAAAAAAGGAAAAGGCAAAAAAGAGAAAAAAGTTATAAAACACACCTATATATCCCACTATGTTTCTGCTATATCCAGGAGGATAAGAAACCAGATTTATCCGAGAAAACTACTATCCCTGATTAAGTACATCAGAATGAAAGCACTGTAGGGTGAAGACTGCATACACAAAGAACTTTACAGGTGGGTTCTGGACATATTAACACAAAAGCAGAAAGTCTTATTCATAATAGCCACAGATTTTGTTAACTGGTACATTTTTACACAGATTTGGTTCATAACTTTATTTACACCATCAGTGTCTTATCAGTATCTAACATTTTCCCAAGATGATGTCACTAAGGTATTAAGAGGGCCAAAATAAATTTTAATGATTTTTGAGAAACAAACAAAAAAATGGTGGGTGGGGAATAACTTGCATGGATTTAAAGACTATCGTTTTATATTAGGTTTGGCAATATATCTTTAGGCCACAGTTAATCGTCATGTGGAATTTAGAGACACACATTAGCTTTCACGAATGGTATAGAGAGAATGAAATTATTTGATGAATCTGAATCACTGGGACTAGAAACAATTTTATATCAAAGCTGTATAGTTTCAGAGTTTATGGGTAGAAAAGAGGGTTTCAGATTTTTAGTACTTACTGATCATTAGAAAGTATCAAGGTTTTAAATGTTCTTCTAACATAGACCATGTTTGAATAATAATACGACAGTAAGACAAGCTGTAAAAAATCATTTGGTGGAAATTAATTAAAAAGTTTAAAAACTAGGTCGGGTGTGGCGGTTCATGCCTGCAATCCCGCATTTTGGGAGACCCAGGAGGCGGATCACGAGGTCAGGAGATCGAGACCATCCCGGTCAACATGGTGAAACCCCGTCTCTACTAAAAATACAAAATTTAGCTGGGCGTGGTGGCGCACGCCTGTAGTCCCAGCTACTCCGGAGGCTGAGGCAGAAGAATTGCTTGAACCTGGGAGGCGGAGTTTGCAGTGAGCCGAGATCACGCCATTGCACTCCAGCCTGGGCAACAAGGGCGAAACTCCCTCTCAAAAAAAAAAATTAAAAATTAAAACGTTCAGCATTCATCTAGCATTGAGTTCTTATTTTTGCTTTTCATAAAATGTAACTGAGAATCCTTTTTATTTTCAATTATCTAATGTATTTAGCCTAAAAAGATGAAACATGCACAGGCACCTTTAATATGAATGGCAAGCAAATAACAAATTTCAATGGCTTGGTTTTACTAGAGGATCAGTTTCAACCATAACTTACAAAGCTGAAATGAAAACTGATCATTTTTCTCAAAATGTTTTTCAGGTTTAATAAAAAAAAATCTTTATTAGTTGTATCTTCCCTTGATGACAGGATTCAGAGGCAAGACTTAAGTTAGTCAACTCAGACTGCATCACAGACTGCAACCCAATGTTTGCTCAAGTTAATATCATAAAAATGTTTAAACTGTGGGCGTTTTTAAAGCAGCAAAACTGCCTAATCTTTAAAAAACTGAGAAGTGCCACAGCTCTTTTTCTGAACACGTGCCCCGGATACGCAACCAAGGAACTAATAAGGTTTTAGGCATCGTTTTGTTTTGGTATTACTTTTGTCTGCAGGCTTTCAGCATTAGGTCTCTCTTTCTAACCCACACCAGGGCCTAAAACAGGAGGCGGTTGCGCGTGAGCAGTATTTCTTTTTTTAACTCCAGCAAAAGCCCCGCAAACGATAAAGGCTAAGAGTCCGATTGGCATCCTCCTTGCCCTTCCATCTCTCCTTTACGAAGACGGTTATAATTCTGGCGGGACCAGGGGTGGAATATTGTGGTTCCGGAGGGACACAGCGAGTGCGTGGGTGCGTGAGAACACCGCAGGAGGGGGCAGCAAGACTTGACCACAGAGTAGGAGGGAAGGATGTTGCCTCTTCTAGGGCGGGAAGACTGCGAGAGGTGCTGTGTTATGCATGATCAAGGCTGGCACGCGGGGTGGACGGTGATGGCCGCAGAACAGGGTGAATGCGGGGGATTCCCTGTTACGGGGCAGCGTTCGTGACCACCTCCCGTGAACGATTCGGGAGCAACGAAAAGGGGGAGACACTGAACCCAAGAATTCCCGACCGAAAAAGAAAAAAGGGCGCCGAGAAACAGGGTTATTATGGGATGGCTGAGGGGGCTCCCTAGGAAAAATTACGGGATCTTCCTCACCCGCCAATTGCTGTACAGCCTCTTCACTCGCCGATAATAAGCGTCTTTGTCCAGAGTCACAGCCATAGCCCCGGACGCCGCTTCTCCTCGGGTTCCGAGAATCACGCGAGGTCCCGGCTCCGCCACCCGCTCTCGGCCCAGGAATCCCGCACTCTCCCAGTGACCCGGAAGTATCGACCTCAAAGATGCCCTTTCCGCTTCCGGGTCCCGACAGCGTTAGGGATTTTTTTTTTTTTTTTTTTTTTAATCCTCTCTTGGATGGGTAGGGGGCGGAGACAAAGAAAAACGGGGGAAAATCAACAAAATGTGCAATGCAAAGAGTCGATTTTCGCGGGGTTTTGTCGACTTCCCCACTGTGGCACGCGAAGCGACATCGTCACGTGACGGTCTGCCTCCGCCCTTAACTCTCAACCCAACCGCGGTTTCCAGGACCTCAGAGTTTTTGCCGAGGCGGCAGCCACTAGGCGAAGCGAAGAAGGCGGTGCCTGCGCAGCCCCACTAGAGCTGCTGCGGGCGGGCGTAATAGCTCCACCCCATCAGCAAAGGAAGGGGAGCGGAAAGAGCGGGATCTAGCGTGGGATAAAAGTGGAAATACTACAGTGTAACTGGGCATGCGCCCCTCCTGGAAACGATGGGGATGCGAAAGCCTTTAACTGCTCCAGGACCGGAGGAATCTTGGTGCCAGGATGCTGGGTCAAGCGGTCCACCGGGACAGAGATCTCATACCAGGGAAATGAAGCCAAGCCCCGCGATAAACTACGACCCAAGCTATGGGAAGGAACCTACCTTTCGAAAGGAAAATTATATGCCCAGGCTTTATCTGAGCAGTGGGATGGTAGGAGAAGTCAGAGGAAACAAATGACTTGAGGAGCTTCACAAACCTTTAGTTCCTTCCCACAACCCCAGTCCCTTGAGCACACGTCATGGCAGCATCCTTCCAGTCAGCCAGTTACTCTGCTGCAGTTCATGAAAAGTAACACTATTCTATGCCTTCCCCCAAAGAACCGTTACTTCAGTAAATTAGAAACAAAATGTACATGGTTCCTGATGAAATCCTTGCTTCCTGTTTCTTCTAAAAACTTGGGAGTTTGAATCCGGAAGTTTGTCCACCTTTTACCTTAAATAATTCCCTTTCCTTTAGCCAGCTGGACAGTCTACATTTACATATATACCCTTTAGGGAAGTACAAATGACTTAATCTGCCCTATCCAAGGTAATATAGTACGAATAGTACTGAACTTCAGGAAAGTGGTGCTGCAATTACCCACCTCCCAAAATCAGTACTCGCATTGGGTTTGAGCAAATATAGAACAAAGGAAGAGTGGAAAAGGATTAACTTAAATTTATTAATGCCAAGGGGAAGGAAGGTAACAGTTCCTGACCCTCCAGCTGTATCCACAGTTCGGCCAGGAACAGGCTCTGCCAGAGGCTAGGGCCAGCGCTACATAGTCTGTGGTTAATGGAGGTGACTAGGGAGGGGTGAGCGCACCAGCTGCTCTGGTCTCCTTTCCTTCCCCAGAAATGAGGAAGTGGTCATGTATTATTTTAGGAGTTCCCCTGCCCACCCAATCCTCTCATAAGTGGGAGCAATCAGGTACATTTTTTTTTCCTTTTCACCTCCTGGAGTCCTGGACTTCCCCACATCTCCCCTGCCCCTCCCACGTTTCCATAGTCCAAGGGCCAGAGTAAATGAAAATACAGCAGCGGCCCAAGCAGTGGGGTCCATGCTGGGGCTTCAGTCATCAGCATCTTCACTGGAGTCTGAGTTGGCTGGCATCATAGGATCATCAATGAGTGAGAAGTCCCTTTCTGAGCTATCATAGCCCTGAGATAAATCATCATCATCTTCTTCATCCTCATCGTCATCCTCCTCAGGTTGCAGTGATGGCAACCGCAAGGTAGTACCAGAGGCGGTAGTCGCTGGTGAAGAGGGGTAGCCAGGGGCTCTCAGGCCTGGATGGTGATGGTGGTGATGGTGAGGGTGGGGGTGGTGGTGGTGGTGATGAAGCATGGTGCTGGAGTCTACATGAGGGGATGATGCTGCACCACCCATCACAAATGGCATAAAAGGCAAAGATGCAGAAGTGGCACTGCTGTGACCCAAAGATGACACAGACTGTAGGCCACTACTGCTGTGTTGGAACGTGTTGTGCAGAGATAGAGACCCAGTGCTTCCACCCTGCATGAGGGCCATCATCTTAGAAAGGTCTGGTCGCATTCTACGGGCCCGCTTCTTGCTGCTCTCTGGTGCAATAGGCCCAGGCAAAACCCGGTTGAACACCGTCTCAGTGTGATGACCCTGGGAGGAGGGAATAGAAGATAATAAAAAGAAAGAAAGAGGAAAAAGGAAAAGAAACCAAAGCCAACAGAGTCCTAGCTTACAATGCTTTTTTTACTGAATGCACCTTAGAACAGGCAAAACAAGTATAGCCATCCTAGGCTTGATTGGTGGTAATGGGAAGGAGGAAATGCTGGGTTTAGCTGGTTGAAACATTCTGATATTGAAGTTAAGATTAATGATTTGGTACTGAAACTCATATGAGCTAGTTTTTGCTTGAGTATATTGTTATCTTTACTTCAGTCAATCATTTTACAAATGCTTACCTTTGTTATGAAGGGGTCTGGGTAAGACAATGAATGAATTAGTAAATGCACATTAAAAAATTCACTTAAGTGTCTACTGATGTCAGGTTGTTCACTTGTTCTTATTATGTGAAGTGCAGCACAACTATATTGACATTTATAATAATATCCTCTATTATCACATCAAAGCAGGGTAAATTCAAGACAGGTCAGAAAAAGACTTCTGGATGTCTAGAGCACCAAAAAAAAAAACAAAAAAAACAAAAAAAAACAAAAACTCCTCAACAAATTTAATAAAATAATTTTTGTTTCACATTGATAAAAAACATATATCTGAATTTTAAATGGCTTCTCTAGATGTTCTGATTTAAAAATTCTGATTACGTTCATTGAAGCTGGAAGTTATTCCTATGGGTCCCAGGAATAATGTAGTGCTAGATTCACTATCGATTCTATATTAAGAATTCTGGACTGGGCGCAGTGGCTTATGCCTGTAATCCCAGCACTTTGGAAGGCTGAGGCAGGCGGATCACTTGAGGTCAGGAGTTCGAGACCAGCCTGACCAACATGGAGAAACCGTCTCTACTAAAGATACAAAAAATTAGCCAGGCATGGTGGCACATGCCTGTAATCCCAGCTACTCAAGAGGCTGAGGCTGGAGAATTGCTTGAACCCAGGAGGCAGAGGTCACAGTGAGCTAAGATCATGCCATTGTACTCCAGCCTGGGCAAGAAGAGCGAAACTTCATCTCAAACAAAAAAATAGCTGGGTGTGATGGCGCAAGCCTGCAATCCTAGTTACTCAGGCAGCTGAGGCAGGAGAATCGCTTGAACCCAGGAGGCAGAGGCTGCAGTGAGCTGAGATCATGCCACTGCACTCCAGCCTTGGTGACAGTGGGAGATTCTATCTCAAAAAAAAAAAATGAAAAAATGAAAAATAAAAAAATTGTATGCTACTCATATTAGGATTTTTCTGTGATTTTCTGTTATTTCTCAAGAGTTTCAATTAGCCTTCTAGCCACCGGCCTTTCCCATATCAACCATTCTGTTTATTGCACTCCTGTTCTCCTTGAGGATAATGGGAAAAACAGAAACATTCTTCCATAGTAACACTTCCATCAATATAAAAATAAGCTCATAAAGCTACATGTATTATGTGTTTCAAATTTGTTAAATGCATAATTTACTTTAAAATTAATTTTGTTATTTTGCAAATATGCATTGATTGGGAGAAAAAAATTAATTTTGTTAAAAGATATTCCATGTGGTTATATAGACACATAAATACATGTGTGTACATTGCCTTCCATATCCATGGATTCAACCATCTGTGGATTGAAAATATTTGAAAACAAAAAACTAAAAAATAACAATACAATAGAAAGTAATACAAATTTTAAAATAATACAGTGTAATAACTATTTGCATAGCATTTATATTGCATTAGGTTTTTTTTTTTTTTTTTTTTTTTTTTTTTACACAGTCTTGCCATGTTGCCCAGGCTGGAGTACAATGGTGTGATCTTGGCTCACTGCAACCTCCGCCTCCTGGGTTCAAACAATTCTTCTGCCTCAGCCTCCCAAGTAGCTGGGGATTATAGGTGTCTGCCACTACACCCGGCTAATTTTTGTATTTTTAGTAGAGACGGGGTTTCACCATGTTGGCCAGGCTGGTCTCAAACTCCTGACCTCGTGAACCGCCTGCCTCAGCCTCCCAAAGTGCTAGGATTACAAGCATGAGCCACCATAACCAGCCTTGTATTAGGTATTGTAAGTAATCAAGAGATTAAAGTATATCAAAGGAAGTGTGTAGGTTACATGTAAATACTACATGATTTTGTTTTTTTGTTGTTGTTTCTTTGAGACAGGGTCTCAGACTCCATTGCCCAGGCTGGAGTGCATGATCACAACTCACTGCAGCCTCAGCCTCTGGGCTCAAGTGATCTTTCTGCCTCAGCTTCCTCATAACTGAGACTACGTACAGGATTGCACCACCATGCCCAGCTAATTTTTTTTTTTTTTTTTTTTTTTTTTTGGTAGATCTAAGGTCCCACTGTGTTGCCCAGGCTGGTCTTGAGCTCCTAGGCACAAGTGATCCTCTTGCCTCAGCCTCGCAAAGTGCTGGGATTACAGGTAAGAGCCACAGCATCTGGCCTTACACCATTTTATATATAAAGGACTTGAGCATCCATGGAGTTTGGTATCTGCAGGGGTCTTGGAACCAATCTCTCACAGATACCAAGGGATGACTATATATGTATAAAGATTTCTATGGAAGATTAGATGAAGGAATGATTAAATAAGTCAAGTATACACAAGTGCTAATCCATTTTAAATGACTCTACTGAACAATGATTTATGTATGCTTTAAAAATATAACTATTGGCTGGGCATGGTGGCTCATGCCTATAAGCCCAGTACTTTGGTTGGCTGGGGCAGGTGGATCACCTGAGGTTGGGAGTTTAAGACCAGTCTGGCCAACATGGCAAAACCTTGTTTCTAATAAAAATACAAAAATTTGGCTGGGCGCAGTGGCTCACCCCTGTAATCCCAGCACTTTGGGAGGCTGAGGCAGGCGGATCACCTGAGGTCGGGAGTTTGAGACTAGCCTGACCAACATAGAGAAACCCTGTCTCTACTAAAAATGCAAAATTAGCTGGGCGTCATGGCACACGCCTGTAAAACGAGCTACTCGGGAGGCTGAGGCAGGAGAATCACTTGAATCTGGGAGGCGGAAGTTGCAATGAGCCAAGATCATGCTACTGCACTCCATCCTGTGCAACAAGAGTGAAACACCATCTCAAAAAAACCCACAAAAAACACAAAACAAATTTTTTTTTTTTTTTTGAGACGGAGTTTCACTCTTGTTACCCAGGCTGGAGTGCAATGGCGCGATCTCGGCTCACCGCAACCTCCGCCTCCTGGGTTCAGGCAATTCTCCTGCCTCAGCCTCCTGAGTCGCTGGGATTACAGGCACGCGCCACCATGCCCAGCTAATTTTTTGTATTTTTAGTAGAGACGGGGTTTCACCGTGTTGACCAGGATGGTCTCGATCTCTTGACCTCGTGATCCACCCGCCTCGGCCTCCCACAGTGCTGGGATTACAGGCTTGAGCCACCGCGCCCGGCCCACAAAACAAAAATTAGCCAGGCATGGTGGAATGCACTGGAGGTCCCAGCTACTCGGGAGGCTGACGCAGGAGAATCACTTGAACTGGGGATGCAGAGGTTGCAGTGAGCTGAGATTGTGCCACTGCACTCCAGCCTGGGCAACTGAGCAAGACTCTGCCTCAAAAAAAAAATAAAAAATAAAAACAACTATTGCAGAAAGTAAGGTAAGTATAGCCAAGAGAAACTTCTGCAGTTATAATTTGCTGGAAACAAGAAATTATGGTTACTTAATCCACCAAATGTCCTATCAACCATCATAAAAGTATAAGGAAATTTGAAAATACAGAATAACTTAATGGCCAAATTTATTATGATGAATTATAAAACATAGTTTCCTCTGCTTTTTTCATTACTGACATATTATTAGTGATTTTCAACTTTTTATATATTGAGAAATCTCATGACTATTTTCCTTAGTAGACCTCTCCAAACACTTCTAAAATATATAGAATTTGAAAGCTAAAGGCTAGGTGTAGTGGCTCACGCCTATAATCCCATCATTTTGGGAGACCAAGGTGGGTGGATCACTTGAGGCCAGGAGTTCCAAACCAGCCTGACCAACATGGTGAAACCTCGTCTCTAATAAAAATACAAAAAATTAGCCCAGCCTGGTGGCACATGCTGCAATCCTTGCTACTTGAGAAGCTGGGCAGGAGAATGGCTTGAACCAGGGGAGGCAGAAGTTGCAGTGAGCTGAGATCGTGCCACTGCACTCCAGCCTTGGTGACAGAATGAGACCATGTCTCAAAAAAAGAAAAACAGAAAACTTAAGAAATTGTTTTAAAACCCACAATTTTCAGGATGTAAAAGCTGAAAAGGTTAAATGATTTGTCCAAAATCCCTTAGTTATTCAACAGAACGGAGTTCGCCCTTAATGTTCTAACACATCTTACTAATTCTTGTATTTTCATATGCACAAAGTACTAAAGTGGGTTTTTAGAATTTTATGCTCTTCTAGAGATAACAATACCACAGGACTGCAAAAATAACTGATAAAAATACTCTGGGCTAGGTGCGATGGCTTATGCCTCTTGTAATCCCAGCACTTTGGGAGCCCAAGGTGGGTGGATCACAAGGTGAGGAGTTCAAGACCAGCCTGGCCAAGATGGTGAAACTCTGTCTCCCCTAAAAATGCTGGGTGCAATGGCAGGCACCTGTTATCCTTGCTACTTGGGAGGCTGACACAAAAGAATCGCTTGAACCTGGGAGGGCGGAGGTTGCAGTGAGTCGAGATTGTACCACTGCACTGGGTAAGACAGTGAGACTCCATCTCAAAAAACAAAAACAAAAACAAAAACTCTGGTTTCCCTATAGGTGAACTGAAGATAATTCTTCACAGAAACATACATAGGAAAAAAGATAAATAACATTAGTCACAATCATCATTGAAAGCCTTGTAATGTTACATCTAGTGTGGGAACAGAATGGTAATGCTTCAGTTTCTCACCTTTTTCCCATTCCTAGAGTTAGCTGTTTGTACTGGTTCTATTCCCAAACAGTTCAATTCTGCCTTATTATTTTTTTTACATCTTTGCCACTTCTGTTTTCTGCGATCTTCCATATACTGTAATAGAAAAAAAAAATCAGTTATCCTAGAGGAAGAGAAATCTTCTCTGGAGTAATTATTAGTACTAGTGTCTTTTGTTTGATAATAAATGCTTGTTGTATAGATACAGGATTAATCCTTGTGGAAAACTGCCATTAAGTGGGATCTCTTCAAAAAATATTAAGTGGTTTACATAATAGTTCAATAGTAAACATTTGCCCAGCACTTAGTTTAAGTACTTCAACATTATTTTATTTTGGGCATCACAATTGTGAGGTTGGAAGACTGGGCATTATTAATTATTACCCTTATTTTGCAGATACAGAAACAATGATATAATATGTCATGCTTTCTCTTTCTCATGCAGCTTAAGTACCAATGGAATGACTTTAAATCTTGCTGGATGGGACTGCCACTCACCGCTAAAAATCGGGGATCGACAGCAAACTCTGGATGACCCTGTAACCACATCTCCAGTTCAGCCCGGCGAGGGGCATCCTCACCCACCAGCAAAGTACCATCCACCTTATTGATGACAGGGATCCGGGTCTCCAGGTCCACATCAAGGTGATTAGGCTCTTCCATGCACTCCACCTCCAGCTGCAAACCCAGAATCCACCCCCATAAGCACATACTCTTCTTTGAGGGAGGAAGGAAGGGGGAGCAGAGCCAATGGTAGTCATGAAATAGCTCTAGTATCTTTCATCCCCTCAATCCCAACTGCCTTCATCAATTATTAGGAATAAAAAGACAATTTAATTATCACATTAAAAACTTAATCACTCACCTCTACTAGCTTCTTTCTGTTCCCCTTCTTCTTATGAAACAGTGGATGTCCATCTCCCATTACCCCATTAGCCATCAACTTGTGCTTCTGGAATGTTAACTTCAATCCTTCTTCCTAGGAAGACAGCCCACCCACCCAAGACATCATATGGTACATGTTTTTTAAAAGTAAAGATTAAACTTTGAGGGATGTAGGCTATGGGTCATCCTCTTCCCCAATGACAGCGAGAAGGCCATCTGACTAAAGGGTAAAACCAGAATTACAAGAAAACATATACAATTTTTCCTTAGAAAGATTTCACTTCTTTACCTAGTGCCCCTCAGGATTTACGAAAAAGAGTTTATTTCAACAACACCCAATGTAGGGTAAAACTCCCTAACTGGTGTCTCTGTATTAGCATGACAACTCATCACAGGGGCAAAATCTTCCTATTCCTATGCATACTAATTTAAGAAACTTCTCTTTTTTGATTGTTAATAGAATTAATAGTCAATAGGGTTCAATAAGGAAAAGAACCAGGAAAAATGACTCTTCCTAAATAGATCTTTGTAAGCTCTAATAAAAGTTTACTCATTTTTAAAATTAGCTAACCAAATGAGTTTAGTAACCTATTAGTAAAATTAGTTGCAGCAAGATTACAGCCTCTTTCCCCACTACCCAATGCCCAAATGCCAAACATACATCTTTGATTTGAACTGTAAACTCCTTTTCATCCATGCCTCGGCGAAGTTTGGTGAACTGGGCTGCTGCTGTGGTGACTGCAGATGCTTCCTCCTCTGCCATGGAAGCTGCACTACTACTTCGTGGTGTGGGGACTGGAGAGTCACCATATTCTCCAGGAGTCAATGAGGGACTGTCTAGCAAGTGGTTGCCTGGCCCCAAAATTCCTCCTGTTATCATTTCCTGGCTCCTACGGCTAGAAGGCCACTTCCCTGAGAGTACAGCCTGGCAGACGAGGTCAATACGGTTTATCAGGACACGATCCTGAATGGGGAAAGAAATAAATACCATTTTTAGGGTCTGTGTGATCCTGTGATACTCAATAGTGCCATCACTACCAGGATGGGTAAAAATCATAAGCAGAAAGGAGAAAGGTTATTAAGATTCCTAAGTCGACTGGGAAGTTTCCTGAAAAAACATGCAGCAATAAACACAATTTTAAAAAACCAAAACCATTTGTTCCTTGTTCCCTGGATATAATGTTGCACTGTATTTCTAGACTCTGCATGTTCAGGGATGAGGCTGTTTGTTACCTTTGGCCACTCAGAGGCTCTTTGTCTTTCCTGCAGTAGCAGAAGCTCAGGGGTCATTTGTTCTCCGTCTTCATTTGGGAATCCATCTTGGGACATAGTGAGGGACAGGAGACTCTCTTCATCATAGAGTTTTGAGTGGGACTGGTCAGCTGGTAAGAGATCCCATAGAATGTGTGAGAAAAGATGGAATAATAATGTCATATGATAATGGTATTATATGGGCTTTGAATAAAGGCCCAAAGAATGACAGGTCTCTTTTGACATTTCATCAAATCAAAATCCAGATCTCTCTCAAGATGATGCATTTAGAAAAGGGAAAGAGAAGAGAGGGGGGAAATAGGAAAGAGGGCCAAAAGCCTGTCACATGCACTCACTTAGCTTCTCTTCCTTCTCGTCCTCACTCTCATCAGTGCTGGAGCTGGAGCTGGATGAGGATGAGGAAGAAGAGGATGATGGTGACAGCTTGCTCAAGTCCAGCTCAGAGTCTGAATCATCCTCATCCTCCAGTTTGACTGGTGGAACACTCCGGGAAACCAGAGGGGTAGTATCAGAGGGGGCTACTCGCATCTCATAGTCTTGTGGGGTTGGTCGGCTCCTGGCCACCACCTCATGCTCTAGCTTTAAAGTCAGACTCTCCAGACTGGGGACCTGGGCAGCTGTCTCCTCGGGTGACTTTTCAACAGGAGCATCTGGGCGCAGGGGCAATGGTGAGGCAGTGCGTGAGGTATACTGCTGGTGGAGCAGTGGAGTAGAGCAGCGTGACAAGGATGGAGCTGGTGCTCCTGCTTGATGGTTCTGCATATAATTCATACGGGCAGCCAGAAAAGAGAAGTCTGGGTCCTGCATGATGTTGCAGTCTGTTTGGCTCACCCCATGGCGGGCTGCCCCTCGTAGAAGCTCCCCATCATGCCGAACAGGCTCCCACCATTTGGGCAATTCAGGACCTGGAGGCTGACACAATGCCAGCCGATCTTCCAAAAGGGGGTGGCATAAAACTTGTTCCCTTAAGCGCCGAAGCAATTCGATTCGGTAGAGAGTCCGTGAGGCTCTCTCCTCAGTGATAGGCTCAATGAACAGATTAGGGTCTGGGGGTTCTGCAAGAGACAGGAGTAGAAGAAGAAATTAACAGAGTTGGTTCTTTTGGCATGCATCCCCAGCCACTCTGCAATCTTGCTTACCATCTCCAGCTGCTGGAGGAAGGCGGCATACTTGGCGGCACATGGCCACAAAGCCATGGAAGTACTTGGTAAGGCTTTCATCTGTTTTTTTGTCTAGTCGAGCAAAAGTGCGGAAGCGATCCCAATGGAACTGCATGGTGTCAGGGTCATATTCTACACCAAAAGTAGATACCACTCGATAAAAATCAGTTTGTTCACGCCTTGTCCATCTACAAAAGGAAAAGTAGGGCAACAATAATCAGAAGAACACAAGAAAACTGGTTACATTTTAATGTGTTTTAGAACACCTTACAAAAACTTAAAGTAGATGCAAAAAAAAAAAGGCCGAGAAGAGGGAGTGAGAGGTTCTCTGTAATGAGGAAGAATTACAGAGCTAAGGGGGAAAATGACACAGGCAAAAATATAAATGAGAATGTCTACACAGGAGACCTACTTGAGAGTTAATGATTATTGCATGCAAGTGAGGTTTTAATTTCTACAGGTTTAACCACCAAGGTAGAAAAGATGGTCCCTCTGTAGAGAATTCCAAATAAATCCTTCCTGAGATGGCTTTCAGTATAGGGACCATAATTAAAGACACAGATCAGCACAAGTTCCTGGCTATGATTTACCGTTGTTGTTTCTCCCGCCGTGCAATTTCTTTCAGCTTGAAGGCTGCTTCACAACGCCGCCTTCGCCGGTCCCCACGTTCTGCAGCCTCTATCTTCATCTGTTCTCTCTTGTAGCTGCGCTGATATGCTGTTACTAGACGCCGAAGCCTAGCTGTTAGGGCAGAGCCTGGAGGCCAGAATAAATGCCCTGGCTGTTGGGTCACTTGGGCTGTGAAAAACAAAGTAGAATGAATAGGAAGTATAGCAAGGGTAGTAGAGATAATACTAGTATTTAAACCCACCCAAAGGCAAAGCACTTAGAAATCCCAGGACAGGACAGAATTCAGTGAATAATTCCCCAACCCACCACCCCACACGGAATTATACTAGTTGACCTAGAAATTTACCTTCATCTCCATCAATCACTGAGATCTCCTCATCCATCATCATCAAGGGATCACCCTAGAGAAGGAGATCCACCCCATAGGATGGAGCGGGGAGGGAAAGGGGGGGAGGTTGGCACTCTGAAATCACTTTCTTATACGTGTCCTTCTGTGGCACCAAGGGATCAAGAAAAATTTCTAAAGAAAGGAGCCCTCACAAAAACTTGGAAACAACCAACTAAGAAGAACAAGAAAGTAGAACCTGAAAGGTCAGTTCTTATTAATGACTTGAAAATAATGGAACTCAGGAATTTATTAGTCAAATAATATCTTTCAATGTCCAGCTAGGGTGCCACCTCCTCCACAAAGTCATCCCTGATGTCCCCCAGGTGCAATACAATCCTTTCCATTAATACTTTATATACTCAAATGGTATAATTCATTTTCCATTTGTATTACAAATTAACCAATATACTTCAAGATTCAGAGAATGGGAGAAGACTTAAAACCATTTAATAATAGAGAAAAGTGAGACTCAAATGAGAATTCCTTACCTCATCATCTTGGTCCTTTGGGGGACCCTGGAGTGGTTTATATTCAGGATCTTCACAATCTTTATCAAAGTCAACCCTAAAATTATCCAGAGGCACAAGAAAGTGTTAATAACGTATCTTCTATCACTAAGAGGACCTAAGATGACAACCTAGCCACACATATATCCGGCATGAAATAGTCTTTATTACTATTACTTTCGGGACAGGGTCTCACTCTGTCACCCAGGCTGGAGTGTCATGGCCCTATCATGGCTCACCACAGCCTCAACCTCCTGGACTCAAGTGATCCTCCTCCCTCAGCGTCCTGAGTAGCTGGGACTACAGGTGTGCGCCACCACACCCAGGTAACTTTTATATTTTTTGTAGAAGTGGGGTTTCGCCATGCTGCCCACGCTGGTCTCAAACTTCTGGGTTCAAGTGATCCACCCGCTATGGCCTCCCAAAGTGCTGGCATTCCAGGTGTGAGCCACAGTGCCTGGCTTATTTTTTATTTTTTATTTATTTTTTTTAAGATGGGGTTTCACCATGTTAGTCAGGCTGGTCTTGAACGCTCAACCTCAGGTGATCCTCCCCCCTTGGCCTCCAAAGTGCTTGGATTATAGGCATGAGCCACCATGCCCTGCCTATTTTTATTTTTTGAGACGGGGTCTTGCTCCATCACCCAGGCTGGAGTGCAGTGGTGCGATCTCAGCTCACTGAAACCTCCGCCTTCCAGGTTCAAGTGATTCTCCAACCTCAGCCTCCCGAGTAGCTGGTATTAGAGGCATGCACCACCACTCCCGGCTACTTTTTAAAAATATTTTTAGTACAGACGGGGTTTCACCATATTGGCCAGGCTGGTCTCGAACTCCTGACCTCATGATCTGCCTTGCCTCGGCCTCCCAAAGTGCTGGGATTATAGGTGTGAACCATCATGCCCAGCCATATATATATATGTTTTTTTTTTTGAGACGAACTCTCGCTCTGTCGCCCAGGCTGGATTGCAGTGGCACAATCTTGGCTTACTGCAACCTGTGCCTCCTGGGTTCAAGCAATTCTCCTGCCTCAGCCTCATGAGTAGGTGGGACCTACAGGTGCCTGCCACCGCATCAGGCTAATTTTTGTATTTTTAGTAGAGATGGGGTTTCGCCACATTGCTCAAGTTGGTCTCAAACCCCTGGGCTCAAGTGATCCACCCACCTTGGCCTCCCAAAAACTCCTGGGCTCAAGTGATCCACCCACCTTGGCCTCCTAAAGTGCTGGGATTACAGGAATGAGCCACAGTGCCTGGCCTGGTCTTTAATTTCATATTCGCAGGAATGGCAGGCCAGGTGCTAAACTTTGGGTCAGTCTAGTATAGCGACCAATGGAATAAAAATAACTACAAGAAATTGACAGTGTACCATTCATAACTGCTTGAATTTGAAACACTTTGATCAACACAGTTCCTTTTTCTTGACAGCCTTTATTATGTAATTCTTCCTCCTCCCCAACTACTTACTTATTATTTTATTTTAATAGTTCATGCTTTTTTGTTTTTATTACTTTGTTCTTCTGAGCAGACAGGTGGCATAATAATGGATTTGCAATGAATAAATAACCCAATTTCTTTTGAGGGTCCTACACTAGGCAAATTGAGGGTGTGTGATCATCAAAGAGAAATCTGTCAGTCATAATGGAATGGGTAGGCATTCATTAATTAAGCCAACTATTTCACATGCCCCTCAGGTATTCATGTGAGAAGTTTTGTTAAACTCACTGGCACCCAAACTAGGGCAATACTGCCCTACCTGGTGGCTCAGTATTAGCATGGCAACTCATCACTGGGACATGTATTCAGGCAAAATGAATGCCCTTATGTGCAAAGTACCATTGGGAGATGATAAACCAGGGCTGAAAGTGCCTAAAGCTCTACCACAGAAGCAACATATGAGAGCTGCTGGCTGTTATCTTTCAAGAGACCAGTTATCCTCTTCACTACTGTAGCTGTACAAAAGAGTGTTGTAAACCAAACCAAACAGAACATCGAGTAAGCCATTTGGAAGTTAACATTCATTTTCACCCTCAGTTGTATCTTATGGCAACATGTGGTTTGGGCAGTTATGGAGTCCTTTCTGCTGGTCCAATCTTTTGCTAAGGATTTATCACTTATGAGTATAATTACAATTAAGAATCCCATTGGGTTCAGTCAAGGCTAGAGTTATGTTATCTCACAGCACAAGTTAGAACTTTAAAAGAATAAATACTAATGCTTACCCTTCTACTATGTCAGAGAAGTTATCCAACACTCGGTGTTCTGCTGCGATTGCTTTGTCATCTGGTCGGCCAGCCTTTTCCAGGAAACATAAGGCTGGGTCTGCCCTCATAGTATTATATTTCTCATAGCCTAGAAGAAAAAGGGTCATAGCTGAAGAAAATGAGAGATTTGTTTTGCCTTTATGTTTACTTTCTATATTGCTCATAATGCAAAACATAGTTGCAATGTTATCATGAACAACCACTGGGTTATTATTATTATTTTGGAGGGGTTAATTATATTTAATATTTTTATAGCAATTTAGGGTCATGGAGAGTTTTTTTTTTGGAGACGGAGTTTCGCTCTTGTTGCCCAGGCTGGAGTGCAATGACAAGCTCTTGGCTCACTGCAACCTCCACCTCCTGAGTTCAAGCAATTCTCCTGCCTCAGCCTCTCGCGTAGCTGGGATTTATAGGCATGCATCACCATGCCCAGCTAATTTTTTTTTTTTTTTTGTATTTTTTTAGTAGAGATGGGGTTTCTCCATGTTAGTCAGGCTGGTCTCAAACTCCTGACCTTGTCGGCCTCCCAAAGTGCTAGGATTACAGGCATGAGCCACGGCACCCGGCCAGGAAGAGTTTTTAAGCAGTGATCGATAGTCTTAGGCTCCCAAACTGTTGGGATTCCAGGTGTGAGCCACCATGCGTTGCCTGCAGTTTTATTTATCCCATTAAAAGTCTCAAAAAAGATGTAGCTTAAGTGCCATTACTTTTATTTTATAGAAAATAAAAATAAAAATTCTTTTTATTTTTAAATTTAAAAATTTAAATTTAAATTTAAACATTCTTAAAAAAAAAAAAAGACATTCTAATTCATGAAGTCATTTCACTAAAAGTTAATGCTCACTGCTTTTTAGTGCCTGGGACTTGGTTATTTGGCAAAATGGCAAAAAGAATAAGGAAATATTCCTACCCCTCACTGCATTTTTTGTTTTGGCTACTCACTCTCCCTTCTTATACACTTTATTTCACTCAAACAGTGCTGCTCATACGTACAGCAGAGTGAATGCTGAACATTTAGGCAAACAGGACATTTACGCAAATAGAAGATTTTTCAGCTCTTTCTCTTCAGTGAGGTGGCCGAAGCTGACACAGAGATGCAGATCTCTATAAAGACCCTCACAGGCAAAACCATCACCCTTGAGGGCCAGCCCAGTGACACCAATGAAAATGTCAAAGCCAAGATCCAAGACAAGGAGGGCATCCCACCTGACCAAGAGCATCTGATATTTGTGGGCAGACGGTTGGAGGATGGCCGCACTCTTTCAGAGTATAATATCCAGAAAGAGTCCACCTTGCAGGTGGTGCTTCGCCTCTGAAATGGCATTATTAAGCCTTCCCTCTGCCTACTCGCCCAGAAATACAACTGCAACAAGATGATCTGCTGCAATTGTTATGCTAGCCTGGACCAAGAGGAAAGCCATTCGAATTAAGTGTGGTTATTATTAACAATAGTGGGGGTACATTACCTGACCTGATTTGTGGGACAGTGATTAGAGAACAGATGGGAGGCTCCCTACGTTGAGATTTACATATCCATCTGGTCCTTCTTGACATCTATTTATAGGAACTAACTGCTCTGGATATTTAAGAACTACTTTCCTACTCAAATTTACTGAAGATCAATCAGGTAACTCAGTTATTTCTCATGAGCATTTTGCTAAATGTTCCATCTGTGAACACAAATCTTCAGTAGAAAAGGAATAGAATAGAAGAAGGTACATACCATGTTTAAAGACTCCAATGAGCAGCGACTTGTCAGCCTCACTGTCCCACCATGTTGTTGGAACCTCCAGCTGATCCACTACTGGGAACCATATGTCAATCTCACTGAAGGTATAAAAAGGCAGATTTAGCATAGAAATGCAGGAAATTAAAGTGAGAATCCTTACAAAGGTTATTATAGGTATCTTCCTGTATCCATCAATTTAAATACTCATGCATCTACCCTATTTCCTTCTGCTAGTGTCAAGGATGGAATTAAAGGCCTGATATAAGATTTAAATTAGATATCCCAAAGATAGCATAAAATGAAATAAGCAAACCCATATTTTCTCAAATAAGGTAGGGCATAAATCAAAAAAATATAGCAGAACTTTACCTGGCAATGGCACCCCCTAACACCTTCTCTGCTTGGTCTCCAATAACCTCCTGCCTCAGGTAGTATAGCATTCGTACCCGCAACAGTACCCTAGAAGGGACAGAGGAAGAGCTGGCTCAGTAACAGTGTAGAAAGTTTGAGGTGGAAAAGGTCGTTGCTCAATTCTGTCCTTACTTGTTACACTGATGTTTCAAGTGCTTCTTATAACTTTCATCTTGGAACAGAGTGTCAGGATTATACTTCCGGATCCAATCTGCCTTATGGATATCAAAAGTACTTTGTGACTTGACTTTTTTTCCCTTGCGTCCACGAGGCACAGGGATAGATAGACCTGGGAAAGGGGCGACATCAAAGACTTGGATTGAGAAAAACCCTTGGACCTGAAAAGGATTAGATAACCTATAGAGAAAAATCAAGGAAAGAGTTGATAATTACCTGAATGATTCTGCAATTCTTTTGTCTTGCCATTTTCAGCTGGGCTAATCAAGTCCCAGATAAAGCCTTTAATATTTTCATCCCCACGGTAATGTAGAAGACAGTACACCAGAATGGCCCGGCAAATTGTCTCCACATCTCGTTCAGTCATACGTCGTTTGAAGCGTCCATGAGATAAAATATCTCGCCATCGTCCCCAACTAAAAAACAGAAAAGGAAACTATATTAACATTTTTCTGGGAAATGATGGTCTCTTGCCCCTCAGAATCATGTCTCTGGAAAGGTGTGAAACAGAGATCTTAAAAAACATAACAACAGAATAAATAGAACAAACTCCCTCCAAGGAAAATAGTTTCACATTATCTCCTCTTTGATCATAGCCCCCAGTTTAAAAGGCAAAGAGTATCTATCAGGATGGAGATGCACTATGCACTACCTCTCATGGCAAGTTTGGCTCTTACCCATATACCAGGAGATGCTTTTCCACCCGAAAGCAGTCAGTGCGCCCATAGGCATGATGACGGTCATGTCTGCGGGAGCGTGGCCGCTCGTCATCCTCACTTTCCAAGTCAGAGAATTCCACCAGATCATCATCTTTCAGAGTGCTGAAGTGGCGTGTCTGTTTTCGTACTCTAGGTGTGTCAATTACCAAATTATTCTATGAAGAGAACAGAAGGAGAAGTAATTCTCTTCCTGATTTGTTCATGGGAAAAGAATAAGACAATTATGGATTACAATGGCCTTGGATGTAACATGTGTAGATACTCAGAGATTTTTTTTTTTTTTTTTGAGACGGAGTTTCACTCGTTACCCAGGCTGGAGTGCAATGGCGCGATCTCGGCTCACCGCAACCTCCGCCTCCTGGGTTCAGGCAATTCTCCTGCCTCAGCCTCCTGAGTAGCTGGGACTACAGGCACGCGCCACCATGCCCAGCTAATTTTTTGTAGTTTTAGTAGAGACGGGGTTTCACCATGTTGACCAGGATGGTCTTGATCTCTTGACCTCGTGATCCACCCGCCTCGGCCTCCCAAAGTGCTAGGATTACAGGCTTGAGCCACCGCACCCGGCCCAGAGATTTTTTAAATGACATAATTGTAAATGTAAAATAATCTATACAAAGTAAAATTAAGTGGGAGATACCCAACTATTTTTCTGGGGCCTCTTAGGAAGAAGTAACCACAATAGCCCTTGTATACAATACGCCATCACAAACCACAATTAGCATCAAATAATCAGAGTACCTATAAAGACTCCTGAAAGTAGTGTGGTCTTCTGCAATACTTCCTCCCTAAAGTAAGAAGAAACTCACCTTACTATTGAGCAGATCCATGTCTAGGTCAGCCTTTTTGGCCCACTTTTGCCAAAAGTTGGGGTCATCCAAAGAAATATCTGTTCTGTTTTCAGAGGCAACAAAGCTTGCCTAGCGAAAAACAAATGCAGAAGTAAAGCTGACTTTTTTTTTTAAGTGGTAAAATTCAGCAACTATATTTTTAAAACTTTTTTTTTTTTTTTTTTTTGAGATAGTGTCTCTCTCTTTTCCCCAGGCTGAAGTGCAGTGGCACAATCTCAGCTCACTGCAACCT